AAGAAGAAACCACCCTGATTCATCAAATTTGTTTTCCCTTTTTTTTTTTTTTTTTTTTTTTTTTCAGGAAACCGATTATAGGTAGCAGTTAGGGGTTGGGGAATATAATACTGTATATTCTTAGACCTTGTGTTTTTCTACATTAAAAAACACAGTTGGACAACTTCTTTTTTTGATGTGCAGATCCTAAGTTTGCCACCTTGGACTTGGCTTTTTTTGTGATCACTTGTCTGTGTTACCAATAATGTGAAAATATTAAAAGTAAATTTGCTTTACCAATATATAGTGTTAACTATTGGAACATAAGTGGAATAAGATGTTACATGACATCAAAAGCTGTGCTTTCTTTTGAGTGTAGTGGCTTACTTTGTGACTTTATAGTAAAAGAGGGTAAGAAATGTATTCATGATAATATTTCAAACAAGAAAATATGAGGCACTTTGTGGGGGGGCATTAAACCCTCTTTGCCCCTCTTGTAAACATAGTACTAGTTACTTTTATCAAAATTTTGCATTTCCTTTATATTAAATATTATCTGGACAGTTTTTTTGTTTTTTTATTTTCCTATTTTTTTCCCCCCTCTCTGTTTTCCTGCATTGTTGGCAGGCTTCATAATCCTTGTGAACATTTTTTATTTAGAACGTTTCTTAGAAATGAGAGTAATTTCTATTCAAATCCAGTGGGTGGGGGCAGTAGTTTATTTCCCTAGAAACTCATGTTCCCCTGAGTTTCCATGATGCATGAAGGCAAGCTTATTCTTTGTTTCTAGTACCTACTACAAAGCTTGAAATATAATAGGTTTCAGCTACCTAAATCTCTGCTGACCAGGCAAATATATATTAATAAAATAAAAGGAAAAATATTAGGTACTCAGTAAGTGTTTGCTGAAAGAATACTGAGTTTGAGACTAAGAGTACTTAACTTTTACTTATCAAATACACTAAAGCAAGCATGTCTTTTATTTCCCAGGGGACTTAAATAATTTTCCTTCCCTTGTATTCCTGCCTCCACTGCCAACTGTCAGCATTTAAGCACTTAATGTGCTGCTGAATTTAAGCAACAATAAACCGTATTCACATTGAAACTCATCTTTGTGCGAAGAAATAAAGCACAGATGCAGTCTGTAGTCAAGTTATTGATTCAGTTTTATACCAGTAAGTCAAACAGATCTATGAGCCCGAGAGTAGAAAAAAGCACGTGATATTGTGCACAGCCAGTCTTGATGGGCTCGGTCTTTGTTTTCCTCAATATTAACCACTGACCAATGTTACTGTGTATTTATTTTGTCACCATAGTAAGATGAAGATCTGAGATAGTAAGGTCAAAATTCATGAGATGAAATCGTGATTTCAGAGCTGATTTATGTCTCATAATAAGTTCAGTGGTAGGAAATCACAGGATAACATGACACCTTAAAAAAAAAAAAAAAAAAAGCCTTGGGGATATTAAATTGATTTGAGTAGGAAGCACTACCATCTAACCTACTTTTAGAAACTCTCCCATTTGGGAATGATAACTTTAACTCTTCTAAGACTGATGCTTATCAGTTAATTCCAGGATAGAGTTTAGGTCAGTCGGATTTCAAGTTTAAGAATGGAATTTAACAGGAAATTCAAACAAAACTGTCAAAAAATATTAAATCCACAAAAATATTATCTCTTAAACGAATCATCTCTAACGATTCGTTGCCAAGTCCCATCTAAACCGTGACAGCTCTTTATAAGAATTAGCCATGGCATCCTTACCAAGTTTCTAACAATATTTTCTAAACATTACCTGTATCTAAGTGCCAATTCCCTACAAATGACGGTCTTCACCATTTCTTAACTATGCTGTTTGTAAATGAGACTTGCTTTGGATATTGTGACTTGTATTTATGTAAAATGAATAAAGAGTTAAAAGTGAAGGAGATACACAGGCAGTCAAATGTAGGAAATAAATGTGTACATGAGTAATATTTTTCATAACTAAGCAGGATTATGGAATTTTTACATTTCTGCTCGTGTGCCTTAGCACATGTGATTGAGAAAACCTAGTCCTCTGTTTGGAAACCCTGGTGGCATAGTGGTTAAGTGCTGTGGTTGCTAACCAAAACGTTGGCAGTTCGAATCCACCAGGCGCTCTTTGGAAAATCCATGGGGCAGTTCTGCTCTGTCCTATAGGGTCACTGAGTCGGATTCGACTCAACAGCAACGGGTTTGGTTTTTTTTGTTTGTTTATCCCTTTGTTTTTATTTAAGAAATGAAAAAATAAACGTACTTCTGAACCTGCAATTTCAAGCCTGCAAAGGCAGTAACTATCCATAGTAATGCATTTGGTAGTACCCAGAGAGAGTGGTAAATGATAATTGTATGTAATAAAAAGCTGTAAGAGAACAGACTCAAAAGACTAGAATTTCAATATGGAAAGATAACGTGTAGAGAGACGACGAATACAGAATTAGCCACCAAACCTCAAAATACTTGAACTAGAGGCCATCCCTTAAGGTTAAAAGTAATAAGCGCTAGAAAACATTGCAGGGATGAACAACAGAGTCAGTTCAAGTATTTATCAAATGTCTACCCTGGTGAAGGTGCTGTGCTAGCAGCCAGTATTCCTAATGGGAACAAAGGCTAAACATAAGAACACTGAGGATGTTTTTATAAAGTGATGGATGGGGAGCCATAATTGCTTTATTAAGGGAAAATTAGGGTTGTTTTGTTTTAATTAAGCTGTAAACGACATAGTCATGGAAGCAATCACCATGTTCAGTATTTCCCAACTGGGCTTCAGTTTCCTCAGCTAAAAATAAAAGAAATTGGACTGATTGTTTCCTTAAGTCCCTTTCAGCTCCAGTTTTTATGATTCTTTTACAGAATAGCCTTTGGTGCCGTTGTCAGTGATACTTCATGTGAATAGGGCTCTTTGTATATTCTTAAGAACCAAGAAATTTGAAATTGGGAAAATCAGTTAGCCCATGTTTTTCCTTTTCGTGCCTCTACCCTTTATCTTCTGCGAGACAACAGAAACACAGAAACCACTGCAGTCCTCTCTTCTGCAGAACACAAATAAAAATGGAAGCTCAAAGAGAACAGTGAAGATCAGCTGTCACCCTACATTGGAAGTTCACTGGCATCACCCAGCAAAATAGTGATGTGCGTGTGAAGGGGAATGGACGGATCCCCAAAATGGATGTTAGGATTTGGGCACTACTTGAAATAGAAATAGGTCTAACCACCCAAGGGACTGAGGAGCCACATTAGGATAATCAGTGATTTATAGCTATGTCCTTTTATAGAAAAGACTGCAGAAAATGTGGGAGGAAAAAATACTCAGTAAACATTCTGGGGCTCTTTGTAGGTTTTAGAAAACCCAGATGAGAGAAAGGGACGATGACTTCTATCCTCACTGTCTCTTAATAACACAAAAATGTGGTTTAAAAACTTTTTTAAATAATGTAAAACTCAAAAAATAGTATCTTTTTGTGGTGAGTTTTAGTATTTTAGTTTCATTTCTGGTTGTGCATAGAGTTGGTCAAATGGATCAATTCCAATGAACAGAACAAAGAATTCTACCATCGTCTTCCTAGTTCATTGCCATGTTCTTCCTCAGATCAAACCTCTGTTCTAGTTGTGGACACTGTCTAGCAACACTGTGACTAAAGCCTTAAGCAGTACCACCTCACCTCCACATGCTTTAGGATCAGCAACCACACGTGGTGTCCTATGGGAGCTGTCCTGGGAAAGCAGATGTGCAGCCAGTTACTACAGCAGCCTGTTGGATGAAAGGGCTTAAGGGCTTTGAAGTATAGGGGTGAAAGAAGGGAAATATATGAGACCCTCCAAACCTAAGCCAAGCATTCATTTAACCTTGTGTCCAGTCACCAACAGAACCTGAAGAAAGCTTTACCATATTCAAGAGATTTATCAGAAGCAATGTTTTAGCCCAGGGGTGATATAGGAGCACCCCTCCTCACCCTCCCTTTTTGTAATGTCCATAGTGAATTTCAAAGTGTCAGGACGGATGGACCCAAGATCCAGTGAATGGTTCAGCTGATCCAAGCCTTGCATTCGTCATCCATCTTCGTTTGATGTAACTTCTTGCACTGTTGCTATTTGTTGTTGTTAGGTGCCGTCAAGTCGGTTCCAACTCAGTGACCCTATGTACAGCAGAACAAAACATTGCCCGGTCCTGCGTCATCCTCACAATCGTTGGCTGTACTTGAGCCCATCGTTGCAGCCACTGTGTCAGTGCATCTCACTAAGAGTCTTCCTCTTTTTCACTGACCCTCTACTTTACCAAGCATGATGTCCTTCTTCAAGGACTGGTCCCTCCTGATAACATGTCCAAAGTATGTGAGACGAAGTCTTGCCATCCTTGCTTCTAAAGAGCATTCTGGCTGTACTTCTTTCAGAACAGATTTGTTCATTCTTCTGGTAATCCATGGTATATTCACTATTCTTCGCAAACAACATAATTCAAAGGCATCAGTTTTTTCCAGTGTTCTTTATTCATTGTCCAGCCTTCACATGCATATGAGGTGATTGAAAATACCATGGCTTGGGTCAGGCCCACCTTAGTCCTCAAAGTGACATCTGTGCTTTTTAACACTTTAAAGAGGTCTTTTGCAGCAGATTTGCCCAATGCAATGTGTCATTTGATTTCTTGACTGCTGCTTCTGTGGGTGTTGATTGTGGATCCAAGTAAAATGAAATCCTTGACAATTTCAATCTTTTCTCTGTTTATCATGATGTTGCAGATTGTGATTAATTTTATGTAAAACCAGTTTACTTTAAAAAAAAAAAATGTGCCTATGTAATAAAGTCTATACACTGGCTAACTTTGTAGAAGTGAAGTTTTATTTTAGTT